AGCATTTGAATATATAAACTAAGCTCAGAGTAGCAATCTGGGATAGAGATACAGTTTGAAAGTCATTACTTTATAGATGGCCAGTAAAACCATATGTTTGAGCAAGAGTTTGTGAATAAGAACATCTGACTAAAGATGAACTCTGGAAGTATAACATAACAAAGAAATGGATGAAAAAAATGAAAAAGTATATTGTTATTAAAAATTGAGTATGATATCAACAAAATAAAATACATAGGGAATTTTAAGAAACAGATTGGCAAACAGTATCAGCTGTATAAAAATGTGTCATATAAGAAGTACAAGGAAAGGATTTGTAAAGCATCGCTCATGATGTTAGCAAAAACAGTTTCAGTGGAGTGATGGGAATAGAGAACAGACTCTCGGTGAGTCAAAGAAAAAATTGTAGATGAAAAGTCAAAGATAAGAGCACTGGTCACTCATTCAAATAAGGACTTAAGTGCAGATAGATGGGCTTAAAGGATTTATCAAGTCATAGCTCATAAAGAAACAAAACATAAAAATATAGAGAAGAGAATGCCTATGGCCTGAATGTTTGTGTCTCTGCAGAATATATTTGTTAAAATTCTAACATCCAAAGTGATGACTCTTAGTGTGTTTAGTACTGCTACAATAGAATACTTAAGACTGGGTAATTTATAAAGAAAAGAGGTTTACTTAGCTAGTGATACTGGTGGTTGGGAAGTGTAAGAGCATGATGTTGGCATGTGCTTAACCTGTGGTGAAGGTGATGTAGCAAAAAGTGGAAATGAGTGTGGGCACGTGTAAAAAGACCAAACATGAGGAAGAACCTCGATTTATAACAATCCCCTTTCAAGATAACTACTCTAGCCCCTCAAGAATAAGAATTCCCTCCCATGAGAGGACACAGATGGAAAGATTCATGACGGAGTTTTCCCATGACTCAAACATCTCCCTCAGCCCCACTTCCTAACACCACTTCATTGGCAATGAAATTTCAACGTGAGTTTGGGTGGCAACAAACCATATCCAAATCGTAGTAGATAATATTTGAAAGTGAGCCTTTTGAGAGGTGATTAGATCATGAGGGGAGAGCCCTTATGAATGAGATTTGTATCATTATAAAGGAAGACTCAAGGAGCTGCTTTGCTCCACAGCAGGAAGTTTTGACTACAAAATCAACGGACCTTCAACAGACACTATATCTGCTGGGATCCTGTCTACGAGGGATTGAACCCAGGTGGAAGAAGTAACATTTATTTCTAGAAGAATAACAAAAACTGGCACAAAGTGTCTTGTCCAAGTTCCTCCGTAAATATTTACTTTTATTGTATGACTGTTTTTACTGAGAGTTCACAAAATTTAGGTTGAGGACACAAAGTAAAAAGTATTTAAATGTCTGTCTTTTGAGGCACACAGATCCCTGTGGTAGATATATTGTTATAACAAGCTGTACAAGAAAACTATGTAAGCAAAAAAAAAAAAAAAAAGTGACAACTATATTTAAAAAATAAATGATAACACAATGTAAAATTCAATTTAAAAACAAGCAAAAGAAGAGAAAACAAAACAGTTCAAGCACACCTTGGTTTACTTTTTACAAATTATCACAATTTTTTGCTAGAATTTGAATAGTTGCAGGTTTTTTTTTTTTTCTAATGGCACACACATAAACTCTGGTTTCAGGACAAACACTTTATGAAGAAACATTAAAACATTAACTTTATGGAGACATTACTTTATAATACAGGAAACAGTAAATTCAGAATGGATATTTGACTCAGAACATTTTAGAAAATATACAATTATTGTTAAGAAAATCTGAGCTTTTGTGTTTTTCATTATGTTAATAAACTAGCTGAATGTAATAACTTCATTGAGATTGTAATCCTACTTCCAAAATGTGCTGAACTTTATTAACTACACAAAAACTCAATTCATGTTTCAAAGATTTGAGTGATTTGTTAGTTTCAGGGTGGTTAATCTTGATAAAGTCAATATTTAGAAGATTTGCATTCCTAGAGCAGCGCCTCACATAGTGTGGTCTTTAGAACAGCATATTTTTAGAAATGTGAATTTTCAGGTTTGCCCTAAATCTACTAAACCAGAAATTCAGAAGTCTCTTTTAACAAGGCCTTCAGATGATATTGTGTTTCCTGTATTTGGATAGCCATTTTTTTTTTAGATTAAAAATTACCTACAGTACATACTAAAAGGGATAAATTAACACAAAACATATATTCCAAATTTATATTAATTTTACTTAAATATGAAATACATTTCATTCATTTTGCTTAAACAATAAAACACATTTTATTTAAATACTGAAATCTGTCAACTGTCATGACATATTTGAAAATGAAAGCACAAGAATTTTATAAAACTTTAATAAATTCACATTTTATTTAGATTTTCTTATTTTATTTTTTAAAATTTTTCTCTACCCTTGATTTCTGTTGTACTTGTGTCTTTCATTTAAATTAGTTGTTGATTTTTTAAGGATGCTTAAAGTATGCAGACACTTCTAACATTCTGTATTTATTCACAAATGTATATTTGCATCAAAAATAAAGTTACTGTAGTTGCAATGTAACTTATTACATTAATTTTAAAGTTTTCTTTAAAGTAATCTAATTTCCCAAGATTGCAGAACCAATTAAATCAATTATGTTTGGCAATGATTGATTTTAGAGAAGATTGCAAATCATAGAATTTTCAGATTAGAATTCATTTAGATAATGGTGCTCATTTCAGATTAGGATTCATTCGGATAATAGTTCTCATTTGCCAAATGTGTTTCTCTAAAAATTCAGATGCAAGAAATACAAAATAAAAGTTCTAAATTTCTAGGTTGTAGAACCATTGTGGAGGGAGGGTTTGGGGAAAGAACGAGGGGAGGTTTTGCTAGGTAACCCATGCGAGTTTCCTTGGTTGAAGTGATCCAACTTTGACCTATTTCAAGCTAATATAGGACGTCAGTGAATCCTGATTTAGGAAGAAGTGTGCACAAGTGGTTTCAGCTAGCCAAAAAGTTGGTCCCAGCATACCACTGACTACAGAGTTCTAAAAATGTCCTCATATGTCTCTATTGTTAAACATTCAACAAGTTTTGAACAATATATTTCCTGTTAAACATTCTCAAAGAGTTTTGGTGGTGACATTATACAGTAGAGAGGGGAGAGACTTTTTCCAACTAGAACCATATTTTTGACTCAATGTTAAAATATAAGCTTTTTAAAATCTGCTTTACATTTAGTGGGATGAGTACCTACATTACAAAATGAAAAATACATGCAACTCTCCTTGAATTTACTCGTTATTATAACACTATATATAATGGACAATTTTTCTCCTAGATTTAATAGAATTTGTGCTTATTTCATACTTGTAAAAATAGAAAAACTCTAATATATAGGGCCTTATAAAACCTTCAAAAGTAAAAAAATTATTCACATATTATGTAAAATAATTTTAGAAATATTAATTTATGTGTACACAGGTACAAAATTTATGAAATTGTAAGAAAAAATTCTTTCACCTGAGTTGTCTTTAGTAAAATTATTTTTCGGATTTTTAGTTGAATTACTTGTGCAGTCATTACTGAAAAGATCTGAGGTAAGTTGTTTAAGTATTTTCTTTAGCTTTTTTGCAAGACTAAAAATGGAGGATAAATATTTGTGCAAGTATTGAGTCATACTAATTTTGAAGTAAAACTCCGAGTACTGTTATTTAAACAACACTGTAAGTAGAAACATGCCACTTTAAAGCATACAAGCAGATAAATGCAATTTTTATTTTCCTAGAGTATGTTCAAAAACAATTAGCGTACCTAAAATACTGCATTTAGTTATCCTTACAAGATAGATTTTAAATATCCTAGTCATTGAGTTATAATTTTCAGTGTTCGGTAAGAATTCTTACTCTTTTAGAAGATGATATAGAAATAATTAATATTTTTGGAATGAATGTATCCATAACTTTTCTTTTCTTTACAAGAGTTAAGAAAATAAAATATGGTTAACTAAAAATAATATCAGCATTGTTAATATTATTTATCAAAAGAGGAATTCCACTTCATTTTCTTTTGTTTGTAAGATGGGGGAGCTGTTGCATTACAGAAAATACCGGCCAGTTCTGTTCCTCTAAGCATTTTCCTTTGATTAAAACCATTTGTAGTTAAAAATGATGACCCAATCCTTTGCAAATAATATTTTAACTGGGGTTCTAGTCTAATGAAATTATGTCTTTAAAAGTGTTTCAATTGCTACAACTATACAATATTGGTTTACTAGTAATATGTTTAAGATGAGGTGTCAATATTTCTAGAGCATCAATGCGTATAGTTTAGCATTCTGTTTTTGGACTAACACTTAGTAGGCACTACAGGAGAGTGTTTATGTGTCTGAATGATATTAAATTATATCTAAAAATAAATGTTCTGTTGTTGTTTAGTTATCCTTTAAGATCCTACAAATTTTTAATCCTTGTTAAGGGTAAGTGAGAAGAAGAATGCATTACAAACTCAACCTTGAATAAATCTAAGTGGGAAAAACAGATGTAAAATATCTTAAAAGATTTAATTCTGTAATACAAAGGATAAGAGAGACAAAATTGTTAGCACTGCATTAATTATACCCTAAGGCCATTCTAACCTAGGATGAAAACCTAGTCATGTGTAGCCAATAGCATCTTACATTTATATAATAACTTTTTGTAACAGAATTTTTGTGATTACCTCATGTTACACATATGGAAAAATAGACAAAGAAGAAAGACTTCTCTTAGTATGCAATCACTTTGCTTTCTTTTCTTTTGAGTACAAGGGACTTTATTGATGGTACATGATTAGGAGGGGTCTCCCTAGGTATCCCCCAATTCTTCAGGTGGCCTGGCATGGACACTGTAAGAAGGGGAGATTCTCAATGTGGTCAGGGACTGAGTGTGGCAGGGACTCCCCAGCAGCTGAGGGCTCCTCTCTTACTCTCATGGTCTTGCTGGGGCTGGTAGTCCAGGGGCTATTACTCCTGGGAGGCCATGTGGGCCATGAGGTCCACTATCCTGTTGTTGTGGCCAAATTCATTGTTATACCAAGAGATGAGCTTGACAATGTGGTTACTGAGGCCAATGCCAGCCCAGCATCAAAGGTGGAAGAGTAGGTGTCACTGTTAAAGTCAGAGGACACAACCTGGTGCTCAGTGTAGCCCAGGATGCCCTGGAGGAGGCCCTCAGATGCCTGCTTCACCACCTTCTTGATGTCATCATAATTGGCAGCTTTCTCCAAATAGCAGGTCAGGTCCACAACTGGCACATTGGCTGTGGGACATGGAAGGCCACGCCTATAAGCTTCCTGTTCAGCTCAGGGATGACCTTGCCCACGACCTTGGCAGCACAGGAGGATGCAGGGATGATATTTTGAAGGCCCCTGCGGCCATCACACCACAGGCAATGATGGCATGAATGGTGGTCATGAGTCCCATCATGATGCCAAAGTTGTCATGGATGACCTTGGTCAGGGGGCTAAGCAGTTGGTACTGCAACAGCTGACAATGGTGAGGTTGTTCTGGTACTTCTTGTAGTTCGCACCTATCACAAATATTGGGACATCAGCAGAGAGGATGGAGATGAGGACGTTTTTGGCTCCCCCCGTAAGTGAGCCCTAGCCTTCTCCAAGGTAGTGAAGACAATGGTGGACTCCACCACATAATCAGCGCCAGCATTGCCCCATTTGATTTTGGTAGGTCTCACTTCTGGAAGATGGGGATGGGGTTTCCACTGATGACAAGCTTCCTGTTCTCTACATTGATAGTGTGTGGAACTTGCCCTGGATGGAATCCTAGTGGGACATGTAAACCATGTAGTTGAGATCAATAAAGGGGTCATTGATGGCAAGATTATCCACTTTGCCAGAATTAAAAGCAGCCCTGGTGACCAGGCTCCCAATACCGCCAAATCTGTTCACTTCAGCCTTCACCTTCACCATGGTGTCTCGAGGCCGCAGTTAGTACTGCTAGAGAGAGGCAGCTGTCTGTTGAACAGGAGAAGCAGAGAACCACTCTTCTCCTGCCTTATCGTTGTATTAGCGAAACCTCTTAGTAAATAGTAGGAAAATTGAATAATAATGTCCTGGTTCTATAGTTTAAATAACTGAGGTGTCTATTTGTACAAGTTATGCAGTTAATTATCAGTAATCACAGTGCTCTGTGATTACTTCTAAATTGGTTAAAAAATGTTAACTTAAGATTCTTGAAGAAAATATTTATGAAAATAACTTGTAGTTATGAAATGTGATAGAAATGTTAGTTTTTGGTCTCTTGTAGTTAACAGTTAGTGACTGATCATTATGTCTGTCTTTATGTATATTTTGCTTACTTTTTAAATGTTCTAACTGCAACTTTGAATATATAGGGAGAAAAAAAATCTGACGATAGGTGCTTTCAAGGTAGGATCAGTGTTTTTCCCTGATGTTCTGTTGATAATGTCTAATATGTACCTACAAGGAATCTAACCTGGAAGAGTAATTAAATGTGATGATGTAAATATATGTTTATCCATCCAATTTATTGCCAAGCAAAACAAAGTTTAATGTGTGTTAGTATATGCATGTATTTCTCCTCCCTAGCCTTATTAGAATACAATTGACAAAAATTTCATATAGTCAAGATGCATGATGTGATGATTGATAAATCTATACATCATGAAATTATTACCACAATCAAGTCAATTAACACATTTTTCAGCTCACCTAATGCCTTAAATTAAATTTACCCAAATCTATTTGAAAAGAAATCAGTGCTTTCCCATTGTTAAACATGACTTTATAACTTTATTAGAGATTATTGTAAAGAATACTACTGAAAATCATTTTAATAATAAAAATCTGAATATTCACCATGAAATATATGTGCTGATTTTAAGAGTACAATTATGTAGAGAATTTTAACTTGCTTTTAAGATCATCAACTCTAACAATGTACATATTTTGAGACTATAGAGCTATATGTTTTCCATTAACTGTATATTAAAACCTTATCATAATAATACCCTCAGATTATCCGATCCATTAATAAAATGTTATAAATATTATACACACTTGGATTTTGTTTATTTTTACTAACAGTTATTATTTAAGACATCAGTAGCAAGGTAATTCATATAAATAGTGTAGAGAAAAAGTTATAACTTTACAGAGCGACAGTGAAGTGAGACAATTTAGCAAAACTGAGTTGACAATAGAGGACACTGAGATTATGCCTACTTTGCTGCCAAGTAGCTCTGAGGCTTTGGGAAAATCACATATCTCCGAGCCCCAGTTTCCTCACCAATAACATGAGATTCATACACTAGAAGATCTTTAAAATATTACCCAGCACAAATGCTTCGACACTGCTGGTGAGATTGCAAAATAGTTCAAATTCTATGGAAAACAGTGTGGTGATTTCTAAAAGAACGAGAAATTTACCTTCCATATAAGCCAGCAATCCCCCTACTGGGAATATATCCAGAAGAACTAAAAAAAGATACCTGCACATGCATGTTTATTGCAGCAATATTCACAATAGCAGAACATGGAGCCAACCATGCTGCCCATCGAAACTGGACTGGATAAAAAAAAATTATGGTACATACACAAGATGGAATGTTGTGCAACTATAAAGAAGGACAAATATATGGACTACGGAGCAACTTAGATGAATTTAGAGTAGATTTTTAGATTATCTATCACAGAAGCAAAGAACAGAATACCATATGTTCTCACTCATAAGCGGACACTGAACATTTACCATAATACTATAAAAAGAGATTGGCAGTAGTGGAATACTGCTGGAGTAAGAGTGGGGGTGGGGACAACATCAATAAGGGTATCTGATCTCAAACCAGGCAAAGTGGAGACCACAGGGAGGCCTAAATTTTATCTGTACGATGTCTACTTGTATAACCAATCTTGAGTTGTACCCCACATCTTTAAAATAAAATATTCAAAAAAAAATATTACCCAGCGCAAAATGTGATCTCTAACTTAAAAGTCACCAATATGAACTATGGCATTTGCTATAGCTGTACTTTATTTACACACATAAAATAATTAAAACCTACCAAGAGTTAATATTCTTTAAAATATATATTTCTTATAAATTTAGTGCTAAATCTATAAGCATGTAAGTGTTTATTATACATTTAATAAAGTTTGGGTATACTTCAAAAACTTTGTGTGGCTTGTAAGGCTTTAAAGCTATAAGTGAAAGTGATGAATATTTCATTGTATTTTTAATTGTTTTATTAGAGTTCTTAAACCCTGAATGTCTGTGTGTGTGTGTGTATGAGAGTCAGAGAAAGAGACAGAGAGATCGAGAGAGAGAGAGAGACAGAGAGAACTGATGACAGTTTAAAAGCCTAAGATACACAATATAGGATAGTGGTTAGAATCACTGGCTTTGATATCAGATCTGAAGTCTTATTTTCTTTGTCTGCCATTTCTCAGCAGTATGACTTTGAGTAAACAGTTTAATTTCTCTGAATTTCTTTATCTGTAATATGCAGAAGACAATAGCCACTGCAGAGCTGGTATACAGATGAAGTAAGGTAATATTGTACAACACATAGAAGAGTATCTGGCATACAAAAAGTGCATATTGTTAAAGAATTCTTTAAAAAATTATTGCTAAAAGCTCAATGTATATGATTTTTGTGTTTTGTTGCTTTCATTCAAACAGTCTTTATCTTAGTCTTTATTCTAAATTTATAAATTATTATTTTAGTCAGAAAGGTCTCTGATCCAACCACAAATAATATTTTATTATATGTTTGAATGAACATACTTTTGATTATTTTATAAAAATGTAAAAGTCAAAGTATTGACTCATATTTTCTTGAGATTTTTAAAAATGTTGCTTTTTGTTTGTTTGTTTGTTTAGATTACCTTGCATTTTGATGAAAGTAAGAAAATACTTGTAAAAATTCAGATTTAGATTTCTAGCATTCTCTTGTAGAATATGTTGACAAATGTCTACTTCCAAACTTCTTCCCAGATTACTATTTTATGGTGAATTGAGCTTTATTAGAGGAACTCTGGCATCACTAAACTAAATAATTCTAAGTAAATGTTTATATCTTTATTGTCATTTATAGTACTACTAATATGCCTATCTTTTGTATATTAAGAAATACACTAGTTATCTTTCACCCTACATAAAATTCTTTTACGTATAATTTTTTCATAGTTAACAATATAATATAGGTTAAAATTGCAGGCTCTGCTATCGGGTTACTTGAGTTCAAATTCTGAAGCAGGTTATTTAAGTCCTCTCTATCTCAGTATCTTCTACTATAAAATACAGTAATAATACTATTTAACAGGCTGTTATAAATATTAAAATAATTAACACATACAAATGGTCTAGGATAGTGTTGGTGTATAGTACGTGTTCAACTAACATCGTTATTATTTTTGTATAAGAAAGTGACATAAGAACTCACTTGGATACAGAAATTTCAAGAACAAGTATGGAAGTTAAAGTTAGAAATTAATGATTTTATAAACATACCCATGTTATATTTGAATCATTAAATTTAATTATGTAAATTCCTTAACTTTTTTTTCTCAAAGTGCTTAATCTGAAAAAGACTTTCCTCTCCTTTCTATCATATGGGTAAGGGAATTGATAATGAACAGATAAGTGTCTGACATGGCCCTCTGGAGACAATATAGTTTTTCTCAAAGGCAGAATTGCAGTGAGGATATATCATTTCTGGGATCAGATCATTAGACACAACCTCTTAAAAGTTAAACAAATGACAGGAAAAAAAAGCAGTCACATGCATTATAAATTCCTCAACAACAACAACAACAAAACTGAAATGAGACTATAGAGAGCAAGGCAAGAAAATATAGAGAAAAAATCCTCTTTCAAATGGAAGAAGTAAACTAAACAAGTTTTTCCCATAAGCCATTAAATCTACCTTGAAAATAGGAAAAGAACAACACACACACACACACACACACACACACACACACACACACACACACACAGATTTAAAGGAAGAGCAATTAGCCCAAAGCCATAAGAAGAAAAAAAAAAAAACACTTTTTGTTTATTTGTTTTCAAAGCAATCAAATCAGGTTCTGAAATAGCTATTCCATTTTTCTCCTTCTTAGTGAAAACAAACATCATACAAATCCCCATGTGAAGGGAATGCTGAGAATAACTTCTCCAAACAAATTTGCATGTGCCACAAACCTAAAGAATTTCAATGGAGTATTTAATTTATTTTAAATTGCATTAACCTTTGCTTATTATTATACTTTTAAGACTTTGTGGTTAAATAAATCTTTAAATTGTTTTCAGATTAATAGAACTCAATCATTTAGTAAAAGGACAAGTATTATGAATATTATTAGCAGCTCTTTAAATCATATGAATAGGCAAACATTTATGACTGAATTTGATTTTAAACTTCACTACTTGATTATGAAATCATAAGCAAGTATTTTAAAGTGCTTTCTATGTTAACATATATGAACACATGCCAAAAATCTATATACATCTTTCATTATATATACACATATAAAATACCAGTTTATATGTATATGAATAGTTATTCCACTTTATAGAGAAAACTTATTAAAAATTTTCCACCTGATACTTCACATCCAAACATGAAACCAAAAAGAATTACAATATCATGTTAAATTAAAATATATGTGTGTGTACAAATACATGTGAATATTAACAAAAATGAAAAATAAACACCACAGAGTAAAGTGTAAAATTATTTCAGAATGTTATTCCCATTGTTGATTTTAAAATCAGTAATTATTGATCTGATTGTTTGAAATGTCTTATTTTATATTTAATACTCTAGGTGTTTATTTTACTATACATTTTTGAGTCATTTTCTTAGTGGTTATCCTGGCAATTTCAATTTACATGTTAACCAAAAACGATTTAAATCAGATTAATACTGATTTAATGTTGATGGTATATTTTT